AAAAAAAAAAAAAAAAAAAACAAGCAATTAAAGAGTTACTTCATTATATGGTATCAGATCAACATTTTTCATATTCCAATTCTGTGCTCCTTATCACTTCTTTGTCAAAATTACACATGAAACTTTAAAATATATTTATCCATGTAAATAAATTTTTTCCTTTATCCAGGGATCTGTTGATTTGTATCCAGGACCTCAAAAGTTATAGATTTGGGGAAGAGAAATGAGAAGTTCTCTCAATAGCGTTTCACAGACAGAACTGAGGATAACTGTAGCAGGCTCATTTGACAGTTTAAGGAGGTGAACAGAGTGGAGCCCCTTCCTAGACCCCTTATCGAAATATTCCCTGTGCACCTTCCACCTATTCCAAGACAACGGCCATGTCCCTGCTTTCCAGGCAGCTTCTTGGGTTTTCTTATCCCTGTGTTTCCTTTCTGGAACCAGACATCTATTTCTATTTCAGAAGCACTCACCCTGGCTTAATGCTCACTTTTGATCTTGCCCGAGGCTTGAACTAGCAAGCTATGTCAGACCTTAGAGGTGGCAGAGAAAGAAGAGCAAATACATAGATCAGTCATTTTTAGCCCCCTTCATCCACTAGATTTGATTTGCAGAACCAGCTCTGTTACTCATAACCACACTGGTGCTGAGAGGCACATTGTGTTTGGGACTTTCACCAGCTGGAGAGGTGTGTGCGTGCAGTCTTCGCTGTGTCCAGACACCTGCAGTCTGCCCACTGCCTTCCTCTACTACACCTAACTCCCTGGGCTGAGTGTAAAGAACTGAGATTGCATACGTGCCCACTTCTCTTCCAGGAATAGGAGCAGTAGTGTAGGATTCAGCAGAGGATTATTGTGACACATTTTGACTTGGATTCCTGCACAGGCAGACTCTGAGACAAGCATTTAAATACAGATAAGGTTTTAGAGAAGCAAAGGACACAGGTTAGTAGAGTGGGGAGAAAAGAGGGAAATGAAGGCAGCCAGCACGGGGTGCATCATTTAGGTGGTTAGCAACACAGGCAGCCGGGGCTCCTGGACAAATCTGTTAACTTCACAGCTCAAACTGCTTCACTGCTTTAAACACAGAAACCCCAACTGGTCAAAGAACTTAATTAACTCTTCTTCAGTTTCCTCACCTTTATAATCACTGTGCTATCACTGTTTATTTATACTGGAGAGTTTACATTTTTTAAATGATGTAGTGCCCTTAGTGAGCTCAATCTTTAGAATTATTAATTTAGTAATGAAACAAAAACTTAGAATTGGATGTTTTGTGGCTGGAGCTGATGTGATGTCTATTGTAGGATAAGTAAAAACAACGTACTAACTTAACATATGTTAAATCTCAGCAGTAACCATATCAACTATTTAAAATACAAACTCACAATATTTTTAAAGTCCTTCATCACTATTACTTAGAGCTCCCAACTTATAGTGCAGGTGGAAACCATACTTCCTGGGTCCTTCTGTCATTTCATTATTGTTTTCTGAATTCTCTTTAAATGTACCCTGTTATTATCTGCACTCAGAGAAGAGTGCAACCACTGCCCTACTTTTATGATTCCACTGCCCCTACCTTCACCCTTACCTCTCCAAAATAACTTCAAAAGATTTCTCAAATTTCTCTAGCGTCAAGTATTAGAAAAAACACTGTTAGGTTTATGCCTCTAATCCCAGCACTCTGGGAGGCTGAGGCAGGAGAATAACAAGTTCAAGCCCAGACTGATCAAGTCAGTGACTTAGCAAGACCCTGTCTCAAAAATAAAAACTGAAAAGGGATAAGGATGTATTTCAGTGTGAAGCCCTGGATTCAGTCCCCAGTGGCAAATCAATCAGTCAATCAGTCAATCAATGTTAGGTGTGAAACCCAGTTCTGATCAGAAGCAAGCAGGCTGCAAGGTAGGAGATGCTTTTCATACATCCAAACAGCAATTCTTTTTTCTCATTGGAAATTATTTAAAATTACACAGACACATATACGTGCGTGTGTGTGTGTATGTGTGTATATGTGTGTGTGTGTCTGTAACATCAAGTGTAGAACTATGCACTTAGGAGCTGCTGGAAAGAAGTAATGACCTTTTGAAATATTTTTCTTTTAATCTTGGAAACTGCATTAATCCTAAAAAATTATTAAAACAAATATCAGGAATATAATTTTCATCAAACAGTGACTGCAGTATGGCCCAGAAGAATAAAGACTTTTAGCATCACCACAGCAGCTACTGGGTTATTCAGAGGCTGTAGTGTTATTTTATTTGCTTTCTCTTTTTGTCTTTCACTAAGGCATAACCATTTGAAATTGTATTAAGTGGTGTGTATTCTCTAACATTGGATTTCAGGGTTTGAATGCAGACATTTCTGCTTTGATATTTTTAGAATACAGGCAGAGATAGCTCTTCTGAGCTATTAGGCTTTATAAACTCCTATAAACTTACTTGTATATGATACACACAGATGTTAGAGAGATACATTTTGTTTTATACTTTAAGTGAATTTCCCCCCAAAATATCCTACTTGGTTAGCTAATTTTCATCATGTTTTCTATACAATTAAAAATACCCTTTGAAATTGTTTCATAGTTAAATCTTATTATTAATTTTTGTGATGCTTCTGATAACTACTTGAAGAACTAACATTTATTTGATAGTTTTCCTAAGTTCACTCCAATTTTTCTATCCCTAGAGAGAGTTTATTCTATTCCCCACTAAATTTTAACATATAGAAAATATCTCTATCAAAACACAGATATTACTAAATTTTAAAACGCTTAAGTACTTCTAATCTCTTCTCGTAACAAAAATAGCAATATTAATGAGAAAGAGAAGATGATTAACTAAAATTCATTGAGCATGTGAACACCAAAAATAATTCTTAAAGTAGCTAATACAATTAATATAACACTTTAATAGTGGAGATAATTTCCTGTTTTAGAAATCGCTAAGGACACAGAAACACAAAAACCCAAAGATCAGTTAATGGAGGCGAGTTCTGACATGCCCAGTTCTGCCTCCTAAACCCGTAACACTTCTTACAAATGAAAAGAAAATAATTTCACTGCTTGTACTTCAACTAATTTTCACTGGCCATCTACTGTGTTAGGCACTGAGAATACAGCACTGATCAAGGTTTGGTTATTGCCTTCAGGAAGCCCGTATGTAGTTTGTGGCTCTGTTCAGGAGTGCAGCATTTGGAGACTTGATTCATGTTCAAAGCTCATTTAAGCCAGGCAGCTATAGTCAAGGTCCATGACCTTACTGTTTTGCAAACCCAAAGATTATCTACCATTTCTATTCAGCACTTGCTAGGGTAACGATGAAGATTGGTTCCTATCACAATTCACTTGTTATGCCTCTAAAAGACTTTCTACAAATGATTAAAACA